AATGGACAAAAGATACCAATTTCCCTAAGCCGACCAGGTTCCAAAGTGGAGACCATCCCATAGACCTATATTATCTGGCCACAAAAGGGAAAACTTTAAATACACTAAAAAAATAGATAATCCAAGGTATATTATAATGAATAAACCACTGAAGATTTACACATATCCCTTTTTATACCATAATCTCTTAATAATAAAGAAACAACTTTATGATTTTAATCTGCACAATTAAATAATGTTTTAGGCTTTTGAAACGGTCACTTTTTTTCAAGGTAATTCTTTTTTCCTCTCTGTGTGGCCAATATTTCATAATAATTTCCAAAAACAGTAAATAACACTCAGTGCTTATATGGGCCAAGCATTGTTATACATTCTTGGCCCCCATTAATTCAAATGATAATCACTATTCCTCCAAACGGCAGATTCTATTATTATCTATATTTTACAGATGAGGAAACTGTGGCGCAGAACCATCCTTCCCCACTATCACACGCGGTAAAGCCTCAAACCCAAACAGACCAATGGAAGAGCCCAGACTCTGTTTCCACAGTATGTCTGTGATTCCCCATCCCCACACTGGGATGCCTGCTAAAACTTAAACATACTTATGCACAGAGACACATGCACATGTATAATTACATATTCACATTTAACAATCTGTGCCAAAATTTATGTATGTCCTTTTCATATATTAGTTTATTAATTCTACCGTGACTATTATATCACTAGGATTTGGGTATGAATAAAACCAAACCTTTAATCTAGAAGAAGAACAATTACTTAGATAAGCTTTGAAACATTCCACTGTCCAGATACGTTTATGTCAATTTAACTTGTTTTTTTAGTTCTAAAATATTGGAAACATCTCAAAGAATTATAAAAAACACCAAAATGATTCTGCCCTGGACACAGGCCTTAGGGGAGAAAAATAACACATAACATTTCCTTCTTCAAAATAACAAGCAATTATACTGAATCTTGCTGTTTGTTTCCTCTTGAGTAATCTAGACTGGAGGGATTTCAAACACCTGACTATCGCAGTATTTTGCTTTCAGTAGAAAGACCATCCTTTCATGTGCCAAGTCAGCTAATAAGTGTTCAATCATATCTATAACTGATTCATAGAAACTAGTTTAAATATTAAATGACTGCATATTTCTAGTTCTTAATATTTGAAAAAGAAATTCCAGGTTAGCTAATGATGCAGACTATGCACTTTGAAATCAGCCACAGTCACTCTGACCTTCCTATTATTAAAGAGCAGTTTAACAGAAGGGCAAAGTTATCCCAGAAAGGTGAAACCCATAAAGCAGCAGCCCAAGGAAATGCAATATTTCCTAGTGGTAGCACCACTCTGGGGTGCTGAAGATTCAGAGGGGCTCTTGAAAGCCTGCCAGTGTGATTTTAGGGCCAAAACAGAGTCATCCTGCTTCCTAAAAGTATATAATTTACCCAATCAACATAGTGGATAAAATTTTACCCCTGGAAATTAATTAATTCACATTAGTCAAACAAAGTAGGGCCCTCTGTTTGACTATGTTCCACCCTCACACAAATGTGCAACCCTTTCCCCATTCTCTTTCTATGTTATAAATTCCTCAATGCAACCAAACTTATAAATGAAAGTATCTTAATTTAGAAGTTCAACTTTAAATATGAAGAAATAAGCCCCACAAATAGGAAGTATTTGAGTTTTTAACTTAATTAAACCTCTAAGCCTGATTATCATGATACTTGGTCACCCAGAGAACCTGGGATCACATGTTTTAGTACCAAACATCCTCACCCTAACTGGTCATTTTTAGAAGAGTGGCTATATTCATTCTTTGTCAAATTTATTCCTGACGTTGCAATAATGCAAATTCACTTTTCCTTCTCAGAATCATATCCAGGTAAAATGCTCTTCATTCTTTTTTCCTGACTTTTCTGTGCAGACTGTCTGCAGGTCAAGCTCCATTCTGATGCCTTGACAACTGTTAAGTGGTCTATGGTAACAAGGGATTATGACCAATCTGAGTAGTTTAATATAATTAGGTAGTCTTCAGAAAGGAGAATAGTAGCTTTCACCCAGGCAGTCCCTGTACTCATAATTATACCAGGAATTGTCAAGCAAAATGTCCATTCATTTTCTATGAATTCAGTAAATTTTGCTGAGGGCTTTACAGTGATGCACAAAACAGATCTAATCCTGTCCTCAGAGCTGTTAGGAGATACAATGACCTTCTTTGACATTCCCTTGAATTTGCCAAGCTCTTTCCATCCTGGAGGCCTGTCACACTCTGTCTGGAATAGTTATCCTCTTTGTCTTTGCTGCCTAACTCCTGTATCTCAGCTTAAACGACCCCTCAGGGGAAGTCTTGCCCTGGCCCACCAATCTATATTAGATCCCTCATTACATGTTTTCATAGCACCCTGAAATCTTCTTCATAAAACTTTACAATTAAACACATGGGCCAATATTTGCTTCATATCTGCTTTTCAAAAATCCACTGCTGTCTGGCACATCTTCTATTGATGCAGACTCACTTTTCTATTTTGCACATTATAGTGAAAACATTTTAAATCTCAGATTTCTTTAAATTTTTCTTTACATTTTCTTTATAACTCTAAATACAGTGTATTCAAAGGTCTCCAACCCATCCTATTTTTTGCTTGTAAAATTTAACTGATTTGTTTATATCTTATATCTTATAATAACTAGCTAAAGTTATTACAAATGTTTACATCTGATATCTATTTAGATAATTTCAAGCCAGAATTGTGAATAGACATACCCAATTTTTACAAACAAATTTTCTCCACCATTTTCTTATCTGGGAGACTCGGGCAAACATGAGTCCCATTATTAAATGTGAAACTTCAGTCTAACTTATCCTCTATGAGCCTAGTTCCATCCTTTGTTTTGTTTTAATACTTCCTTATTGTTGAAAGTATTACATATGTCTCCCTTTGACCCCCATTGACCCCTTCTGCCCTCCTCGGTCACATGTCTGAAAATGTAGCCCTCCATTTAATATAATACCAGTTTCCATTACCTAAAAAATATGGAGTATAACTTTTTTTGCTCATGGGCTATACTGCAGGTCAGGGGCTGACAAACTTTCTGTAAAGGGTCAGTTTGGGGGCTTGGGGGGCACATATGGTCCCTGTTGTTATTCTTTGTTTTCATTTTTGTTTTTAATAACCTACTAAAAATGTAAAAACCATTCATGGCCCCTAGAAAACAGTGTGCTGACCCCCTGCTTTAGGTTCAAAAACACTCATTAATTCTTAACATTCACCATTACTTATCCTATTACCTGTATAATATTTGGCTCTTAATCAACACTCAATTGAAGAACTCTTCTCTCTACTGTTTATCAAACCTCCAGTTTAACAAACACTGATTAAACATGTGTTTACATATGAGGTAACTGACTACCTAAAGAAATAGCAATATGTACTATAAAAGAACAAATAAAGCCTTTTGAAGTCTTTCCTCTCTTTTTCCTGTGTTTTTCCCCCTGACCCTACTACAAATCGGAATTTACCACATAATCAACTTATTATGCTCTGACCTCAAATTTCTCTTATCATATTCCTGTGTATAAATTGGTGCTAGCTTGAGTTTCTTTATGAGAATCTGATTAGGCTTCATGTGCTATAGAATTGGAATCCCCTCCGGCTTATTCTCCAGTAAGCTCCCTACTTCCAACTGTAGCATATTCTGATAAGTTCACCTTTTTGTCCCCAACTTCCAACGCAATCATTTCTTCTCTTCTTCCTTAGTTCAGCTCCCCGCTTATTGCTAACTATCCAATTGTTCTCCCTTTTTATGTATAATCCCAATGGAATAACTGTGTTGTTAGTTCTGTTATAGCTCCACCTCTGACCATCTGGGTATTTCTTAGGCTGAGTACCTTTCTTTCTTTCTTCATCTATAATAGGGGTTAAAATAGTGATGCCAACCAGACACAGTTAAGTGCAGAGGAAATACACATGTGGAAGTTATTTATTTACAATCTACAAAGTGCCCTGAGAGACCACGAAGGTCTGTAGACGTTACACTTGATTTAAGAACAGGCTCTGCCATTTATATTTATGAGTTATCCACCTTGGGCAAGTTAACCCCTGTAAGCCATTTATTCCTCATCTGTAAAATAAAGACAGTAATAACACCTACTTTATAGTGTTTATAAAAATTACGTGGCATAATCCATGTTCAGAACTTATCAGAGTACCTACTACATAGCAAAGGCTCCAAAAATGTTAAACGTAATTATAATTACTTAAGGGTAAGATGTATTTTTACTCCAGGGGCCATAGGCCTTTTATTAACTTCTCCGTCTCTACTTGCATTTGAGCCTATCTATGTTTCCATTGGTAAAGGTATGCGCCCCCCCCCCTTTTTTTACAATACTTATTAAACAAGTTCTTTGACATTTTGCTCTGTGGTACTGGGTTCCTCCTTACAGGGACTATTTAGTGTCTTTCAGCAATAAAAGAGAGGGGAGAGGGCGAATTGAAATGAAGAAGAAAAAGAGAGTGAGAGAGAGAGAAAAAAAAACTATCAGCTCATACTTTGTATGTTATCAATTAGTACAGTCAGTTCTGTTATAATGCAACATATGCATTCCAGAAAACCACAATGCTATGCAAATCATATCATTAAAACCTCTGGGCTTATGGGGGAAATGGTGTGACACATAAAATAAGAAAGGAGCCTAATAAAGACCATAGAACAGTTTTACATATGTTAAATCAGTGGTTCTCAACCTTCTGGCCCTTTAAATACAGTTCCTCATGTTGTGACCCAACCATAAAATTAGTTTTGTTGCAACTTCATAACTGTAATGTTGCTACTGTTATGAATCGTAATGTAAATATCTGATATGCAGGATGGTCTTAGGTGACCCCTGTGAAAGGGTCGTTTGACTGCCAAAGGGGTCGTGACCCACAGGTTGAGAACAGCTGTGTTAAATGGTTAAAAGAAAATAAAAAACTGCAATATGGCACCTTACCTTGAAAAAGACATGAACTTTGCTTCTAGAATTGGCTGTCCAAAGGGCTGCAGCTGGTGAGTTATTGTGAAATGATGGGAGAAGAGTTACCTGAAATAGAAGGGAAAGTTATAAAATGAGATGTGATGGCTATAGCTTACAGTATGCGGTGAAGTAAGGTAGCTAGAAGATATCTAAGGTGTGTGCTTGTGTATCCTACGTGGCTTGGTGAAGTTTCCTATGTTCACCTACAATCGCTCAGATAAAATCACGCATAAAAAATGTAAGATTTATATTATACTCAAATTGTTCCCTAATATCAACAATATCTCATTTTCAAAGCAAGCATGATAGCAGAACTGACAGTACTATTACAAAACTGAACTTTTGAAAAATGTTCTGACTCAAAACTGTAGTCACTGTTACAAAGCCAATGTTACTCTTCAATTACCTATTCAGCCCAAAGCTTTTACCTAGAAAAAGTCATTCTTTCCTTGTCAGTCTTAAGCCACTAAACATCATCTAAGATCACTCTTTGTTTCTTCAGCTTTCACTGTGGGCCGCAGCTCTGATTCAGAGAACCACACCATAGTTGTTTAGATCTCTAGTTGATTCTCTGTTCCTAAATGTCCATTTCAACAGAGCAGTGAAAAGTCTTACGGTCAATAACTCACTATCATGTCAGTCATTCTATTTATTCAGTCACCCAGTATTTACAATGAGCATCTGCTGAATACAAGGCGGCATGGGAGATACAAGATGAACCCACATCCAATAAGAGATAGAGACTTAACTCAGTGGATCATTTAAAGTCAGAAATGTTACATCTGAGGTGTAAAACATTGTAACACATGTAAAAATAACATTAACACAAGACAGAACAGGAAGTACTTGAAGAAAATGCAGAAAATACATAATAGACTACTTTTAATGTTGGGAGAGAGGGCCAGAAGAAATTTAATGGGGGCAACTGGTAGACCTGAAGGATGATGTAAATTTTGGATATGAGGCAGAAACTCCAATTGAGGTATAGGTAAAGAGAAAGATGGGAAGCGGGAGGTGTAAAGCATAAAAATCAAGAAGCTTAAGCCATAAAATGAGCTACGTGGCTACAAATGATAAGTTACATCTCAGACCTTGAGTTTTAAATGATGAGAAATGGGAACGCCAGTGACAATTTTTATCCAAAAGAGTGCAACGTCAGTTGTGAATGGGCAGGAAGGAGACCAACTGGCTTTCACAAGCCCAGACTTTGAATAAACTGAGAGACTACATTCAAGTCTTTGGAAGGAGAGGGAAGAGCAGCAGGAGGGCTTTTACCAACTACAATCCCAGGCTTTGTGTCCAAGATTGATATGCATGGGCTCTACCTAATGGATACTAACTGTGCCGCATGGTCCGGTAAATTGTATAAAACAGTGGAATAAAGAAAAATTATTTGCAAATGAGGGAAACGTATTTTTTTTTAGAAACAATGAAGAAAAACAAAGAATGCAATACTAATAGTAATAAATAATATTGTCAGATTTTTAAATATGACTGTTCAAATTGCATAATTAGTAGAGCTAAATAATATGACCCTGAATTACATAAATATCTCCCATAACGCATTCTTAATATTCACAAAACTATAGAAATGTTCCTAAAAGCAAAGCCTTCTTGGACAAACGTTCATGTGAGATCGACGGCAAGTTTAAGAAACACACATAGCAATTCAGCTCAGATTTTACCCAAGCAAGTACAGAGAGAAAATATTTCACAGATTGCCTTAAATTTTAAAAAATATATTAAGAATTAAAACTATCACAAGTTTCTTCTAATCAAATTCCCAAATCTAGTTAATATATTCCATACACAAGATTCTGTATACAAATGCCACAATTTTGAAATAAAAGAGCGTAATTTCTTCACATAGCTGAAAAGTCTGTTTTTAAGTGCTTACATATCAAGTTAAACAACTAAAAATACATACACAGCCTGCTAGTGTGGTTCAGTGGTTAAGCGTCAACCTATGAACCAGGAGATCACTGTTCAATTCCCAGTCAGGACACATGCCCAGATTGTGGGCTCAAACCCCAGAAGGGGGCATGTAGGAGACACCAATCAATGATTCTCTCCCATCATTGATATTTCTATCTCTCCCTCTCCCTTCCTCTCTGAAATCAATAGAATTTTTTTTTTAAAAAAAACACATTCACAAACTTAACTCTAAAATAAATTTTAAAAAATACTTGTTTAATTACATTAGAACTATCCTGTAAGGTAAATAATCAAAAGCACATGATCACCTAATTTATCATTATCACCTACATAAAATTTTTATACAATTCAACTAAATTATTACTTACAAGACTAAAGTATAATGAGCTGATTTATGTTCCCCTTAAAACTCCAAGGATGCCCTAACCGGTTTGGCTCAGTGCATAGAGCTTCGGCCTATGGACTCAAGGATCCCAGGTTTGATTCTGGTCAAGGGCAGGTACCTTGGTTGCGGGCACATCCCCAGTGGGGAGTGTGCAGGAGGCAGCTGATTGATGTTTCTCTCTCATCAATGTTTCTGACTCTCTATCCCACTCCCTTCCTCTCTGTAAAAAATCAATAAAATATATTTTTAAAAAAAACAAACTCCAAGTAAATTCCCCTAAGGAAATCTCATACCACCTACCCTGATGATTAATGACACAATTTCATTGAAAAATAAACTAAAAAGGAGATTTCTCTAGATAACTTATTTCAGAATTATGTACATAAAAAATGAGTCTAAATGTCTTATCCTCTCTATAGTCATTTCCTCTTATGTGCAATTTACTTAAACGGAAGAACTGTTTCCAAAGGTAGCTATTGAAAAACAGAAACTTTTAAAGCACTCCAGGTACAATAGCCTCCTTTAGGTGAGAATAGGGTGGGCAAAGAACAAATATTTTATATACCATTCCCAGGGCACATAGGAAATTTGTACTCAACTAACATCTGCCTTAAAATTTGGCCTGTAAAGCTGACCAAAGCTTTGTCACAGGGTAAAACGAAATCAGGCCATAAACATCTCAAGCCACCTCACCTACTGATGCTACCAAAGCTGCATTCAGTGCCATTAAAAATTTGTGTACGTTGATAATTCTCCTATGATGTAGGAAGTCTTAATAATAAACAAACACTTCAAAGGAAAATCAACATTTTCAAGACTATATTTCAAAAAGGATCAATACAGCCATAACCACGGCACTTGAACACAAGAATATTACATTTCCCATCACCAAAACATGGATGTAACCAGTTATTTACTTTTGTTCTCTATCTAGCGATATAATATTTATTTCTAAATACTAAAACTTAGCCTTGCACCCAATTCCTAGTAACTGAGCAATAACAAAAAGGCTCTTTCTGACTTAAATTAACAAATTGATAAGAACTACAAAAATATATTAAGAATTACATATATTTGTCACTGAGGTCAAATTTTATATTTAAAACATTAAAAGTACAAAATTGGATTTTTTTAAAGAGTTGGTCTTTTAAAACTTCCATTAATTGACTATTTAAACATTTACAAGTTCCATTAATATACAGGGTTTAAAAAAAAAAACTTTAAATACACATATTCACATTTCAGGCCCAAGAAAATGTTTACACAGAAATTTGGCAGTGTTAAGTCTGTGGAGTCAAAGCCAATAACAACCTAAGAAGCTGAACTCAGTTAATAAGCAAATTTTCATAGTACAACTAACATTGTGTAAACAACCCAAAGCAGTTAATATTTATGGGATAATCACAGTCTTTTGCATATCATATTAATTTAAAAATAACTTTCTGAAAGTCTGATATGTCTGTACTTTCCCAACTGTTAACAGTCAACAGATATCTTCTTAGCTATATTGGAGAACTTATTCTCTTAAACACCCTGACCTAAAGGGAGAAAATCCTTTAAATCTCCATCTCCATAAGCAAGAAGCCAGGAGGCAGGACCCGATTTCACCAAATTCAGAATCCACTTGGAATTCCAAATGGGAATTTAAAATTATTAAAGAGCTTACAGAGACTGAAAGGTCTACAAATACCCTCAATAATAATTATGCCTTTGAGAGCCCTCCTTAGCAAAGAAAATATTTCACAAACTCCAACTTACCAGCCCGCACAGTCCAGGCAAAACTCCGCTACGAAGTCCTCCAGGCAATACTGAGAGGGCATTTCTCTCACTTCACTCTTGGTGCCAAATGACCTTTGGCTTATCAACAGAGAGGGTGGAGCTGGATGCTTCAGTCTCAGCAATGTACCATACTGAACAAAGTTTCTCCTTTGGTTTCTCTGGGGAGTTAACTAAGACTTCCTCTTCTTGTTAAGTAAGTAAACACAGCCACTACTGCATTTCTAACTCTTCCCTAAGGTGGCAGATTAAAGCTTTAAATGATGCAAATAATGATGGTTAACACTGATTGAGAACTTACTACGTGCTCTAAACTAACACTATACAGGTAGACACCATTATTACTCCCATTTTAAAGAGGTGGAATCTGAGTACCAGAGATTAATCAGTAAGTTGTAGGAATTTCGGATATAGCAATTGGGCCAACTAGGCTAGTGAAGAAGACTTTCCACTATAAACAAAAAAGATAAGGAGTGTAACAAATTTTAAAAATTAAATACAGAGGGTACTTGCTGTAAAGAAAATTATAGAACATGGACAAAGTGGTAAGCACAAAAGCAAATACTGCCAACTGTGGCTGCCAGGAATAGTCACTGGGGTCTCTTTAGCGCTTACTGCTACTTGAAATTGGTAAGGAAATGCCTCTCAAGAAGAAATCAGAATAAAGTGCTCTCTCAAGAGAGCTAGATTTCTGGCTTTGCTTTTCTGAAGAAAAACCCGAACAACTGTAGGTAGCAGCAGGGGACAGAAGAGGTCTTGGGCAGGTATAAAGTTGGTACCGAGGTCTTCCATAAAACCAGAGCCGTCTTCAAAGGGCTGTAATCGCAGTTAAAAATGGTGAGTGGAGCAGAACAAACCCACCCTTGTCTTAGAAAGACTTCAAGGGACCTTGTCCCTGAGAGTCTGGATGAGAGGGCAGGGGAAATGCTACATCCAGAAATTACAAGCCTACACCTGTGACACAACAGTT